GGCACGACTCGGTCTAATGCAGCGGCGGCAGTTGTCTCCCAAGCCGCCGCCTGATTTTCCGCCGAGTCATGGACCAGATCCTCCGGATAAGGCCCAAGCTCCGTCAGGAACCTCTCTGGGTCCATCAGTCGCCTGGGACGGAACCATCTAGGCGGTTCCGTCTCCCTGCGGCGGGGGGGCGCGGTCCGGAAGTCCATCCCTTAACAATCACTTTGCCTAGCAATAGAAATTCTCGTCCCGCTTTTGATTTTAAGTTGAGAACTTACAGAATAGAGGTAGCAGCTAGGATACCAAGTGTTCACTCCTTGATTCTGCACCATGAAAGAATCAATTTGGTGGATGGGAATGACATATCCGATATTTTGATTGTGGTACGATGAACTGGTTGACTGTAGCGCCACAGGGCAGCATTGCCTCCAATTTTCTCCTTCTCTGCATCAATATTCAGTCTTTGAATATGTTTTATTATCTTAGGTTTTGGGACAGTAATAATGAGAAGTTCTAGCAATACCATCTTCTCTGACCAGTTGTCCTCAACAAACTTCTGAGAAGTCATATCATGCTTTTCATATTGTTAATTCTTCCTTGGGGAAAAGGAAGTGTCCAGTGTTTGGATGACCCCTGAAGTCCTCTTGTATCCCTTTGAACTGCTTCTAGGATTGATGCTATTGTCAACACTCCTAATCCTCTGCCACAGATATCTACAGTGTAAACAGCCCAAGAGGGCACGAAATTCTAATCCTGGTGGAATACTTGCATGGATTATGTTGGACAATCCTTTGTAGGTAGTCAGGCAAATTACTTGCAGCAATTTCCTTTATGGGAAAAGAATCAAGTATACTCGAAATAAAGGTGCAGTTTTTGCTCAGTCATATCACCAGATGAGACTGTCAAAATGCAAGATGCCCGTGAGGTTAGTCACAAAGAGCTGTTATCAGAGGTACTACAGTGCAAACTGTTTTTTGATAATGCACACCTGTATTTTAGAAACTGGCAGATATAAAAAGTGTGTAATGGGGTGATCTAGGGCTCTGTTCTGGGCCCAGTGCTCTTCAACATCTCCATCAATGATTTGGACGAGGGGATAGATGGGGAACTCATCAAATTTGCAGATGACACCAAGCTGGCAGGAATAGCCAACATTCCAGAAGATAGGCTTAAGATACAGAAGGATCTGGACAGACTTGAACACTGGGCACTATCTAACAAAATGAAATTCAATGGTGAAAAAAGTAAGGTTCTACATTTAGGCAAGAAAACCAAATGCACAAGTATAGTATAGGTGGTACCTTGCTCAATAATAGTAACTGTGAGAGGGATCTTGGAGTCCCAGTGGACAATCACTTAAATATGAGCCAGCAGTGTGCTGCAGCTGCCAAAAAAGCCAACACAGTGCTAGGCTGCATTAACAGAGGGATAGAATCAAGATCACGTGAAGTATTAATACCACTTTACAATGCCTTGATAAGGCCACACTTGGAATACTGCATCCAGTTTTGGTCACCATGATGTAAAAAAGATGTTGAGACTCTAGAAAGAGTACAGAGAAGAGCAACAAAGATGATTAGAGGACTGGAAGCTAAAACTTATGAAGAATGGTTTCTGGAATTGGGTATGTCTAGTTTAATGAAGAGAAGGACATCATAGCAGTGTTCCAATATCTCAGGGGCTGCCACAAAGAAGAGGGAGTCAAGCTATTCTCCAAAGCGCCTGAAGGCAGAAAAAGAAGCAATGGATAGGAACTAATCAAAGAGAGAAGCAACCTAGAACTAAAGAGAAATTTCCTGACATTTAGAACAATTAATCAGTGGAACAACTTGTCTCCAGAAGTTGTGAATGCTCCAACACTGGAAGTTTTTAAGAAGAGATTGGACAACCATTTGTTTGAAATGGTATAGGAGGGGGAATAATAATAATATGAAGTTTTCAGGGCTTAAGGCATGTTTCTGCGATTCTTGTGAACATTCTCTTCAAACCTAACTGCATGTCTTGGAAAAAGTTACCAGAATGATAAGGCACAGCAGCCTCAGGTCAGGATTAGTTGGATGAATGTACATCTGGCCTTGCTAATCTACTTAAAAAGAAAAACAAAATAAGTTCATCCTTTTCTTCAAAGTTACTGAAAACCCAAAATATCTTGAGCTGATTTAATGGATTCTGTTAACAATAACACCACATTAGATGCAGATATTTTAACATATAATGCCATTACTCTCCTATTGTTTCTGTTCTTTTTATTAAACTGTATTTTTCAGTTACAATACCCATCAAGTCTTTCTTATATCTATAAAGGCATATTTGCATTCTTTGTTGAAAATTAAAGTGCATCTTTTTTATTTCCTTAGGCTGTGCGTTAGTGTACGGACAGCAAGGCCATAAACTTTATGAGTCAATTAGCTTCCTGATTTTTTATTAAGTAACTTATTAGGCCCCCCACTTAGGAACACTCTCTCTTCCTCCTACAACAAAGGTGTCAAACTGCCAGCCCGCGGGCCGGATGGGTCATGCGGAAGCCACGCCCGCAACAGCTCTGAAAAGGGGAAAAATGTTGTGATACGTTGCGACATGTCACGTGATGCGGCGAGTTTGATACCCCTGTCCTACAACAATCAAATTTTGATTCAAAGTTGTCATTTTAGGATCTTCATCTCCAACCCCCATGACATTCAATTTGAAGCCCTACTACTCAAATTCAAAATGCTTGTGCTAGACATTTTCTTTCCAGTCCTTCTACTGCCAAGCTTTATAAAAAACTGATTGTGGTGCAAGAACTCAAATCTTTTCATGAATTCTGCTTTCCACCCACTCTTTTTTTCCATAAACTAGTAGGATGGGTGAATGATTGAGTTCCCCAATTCTTGAATTTCCTTCCTCAATCTTCAAAGTTCATGATGGTATGGATGTAATGGCTCCTGACAATATTGTGAATAGGAAGGAATAATACTTAGTAAAGTTGAGGAAATGAAATAAACTAGAAGTTTCTTTCACATTTTTAATCAGTACTTGTGACAAAGAGCATATTTTATTAGCCAGTAATTCTGGTTAGTAGATGTTCAAATCTTACTTGAGAGCAGGCACTCATATTGTTAAGTAAAGACATCTGAAGCCTAAGGTAGGAAATGAAGTCAGATAATCTTCATGGCAACTCAATAAGATAAGTAGTTCAGGTTGAGAAGTCAGTCCTAGGTTTACAGTTATGCAGAGCTGATCAGATTGGTTCAAGGTATCGTTGAGTAGTTATTGAGTAGAACTGCAGAATGCACTCTTTCCATTCCAAATGTGGCTCCCAAAGAGGTCAACAGTAATTCCTTCAGCCATGATCTGCCACAGTAAAACCCAAATTAAAAAGCCTTGACTTTATTGCTTGTATCAACATCTTCCACTATGTTTTTGTAGATTTCATTGCCAGTTGAAAATAAATATAGCTCATAAATTAAGCTGGCCCACGTTATTTTGCAGCTTGAAGCCAAGAGCAAGATGACCATCTTCCTCTCTTTATTGTTGTTGGAAGCCAGTCGGTCTGATAATTAAATCTTATTTAATCCTAGCAAAACCTGAGAGCAGCTGGCTGGCTTAAGGGACCCATTCATCAGCACCTGCTGTCTCTGGCAGCCTCGTCATTTGGACAGCACGAAGTAAAGAGAATCTGTAGGTAGCAGAGCTGAAATTCTCTCCCAAATTTGTGGGAAGAAAAAGTTACTTGGAAGCTTTCTTTGAATTTCTTCAGGGGAAGAACATTTCTCCAACTGTTTCTTAAGGGTAACATTCTAGCCCTATAATAGCTTGTCAAGATAGCAAGATATCTCCAATAGAAAACGAATTTGGATGGTTGGTCCTCTGTAATCCTTCCATTGCTGAAGTTCTCAGTCACCCAGTTAGGAAGCCTGGAGCTATCCTCCCTATCTGAAAAGCAAAGACGGGATATGCATATGCATTCCTTCAAAAACCAGACATGAAATTGACTAAGTGCCATCAAGTCACTGTTGACTCCTAATGACCACACAGATTTTCTCCATGACAACCAGATACGAGACATAAGAATAAAGTCTCTTCCATGAAGAACCCAAGGAAATATTACATCTAACTCAATTGTTACACACCAAACTTCAGAAGTGGGGTGCTTTGCACCTGCTATGCATATCATTTTTTTCTGTTCCATATTTTCTGTTGTTCTAAAGCAGACATATCAAACACAAGGCCCGGGGGCCAGATGCGGCCCACAAAGTGGTTTCATGTGGCCCGCGAAGCCATCCTGGAAACAGTGAGGGAACGGCCCCCTCTGCCTTGGCCCTGGCCCAGGCCAGCCAGGAGCCAGTGTACAATTTTGTGGTGGCCATCTATGCTGAAACGCATTCAGTCTTAGCTCCATAAGCCCCCCCCCCTGCATGGCCTAAGAGGAACAGTGAGGCTCCTCCAGTGGACCATGCCTTGGCACTTGCCCTGGTCCCACTCCCTTCTTGCAGAGACCCTCAGATCTGTCCCACTCCTGCCCAGGCTCCCACAGGCACCCTTGACACGAACGATGTAGAGCTGGCCACACCCACCCAGTAGGCCACACCCACTCCATCTACACCCACCCACTAGGCCGCACCCACCCTGGCCGCACCCACCCGGCCCCCTTAGGGCAACCGCGATGCTGATGCGGCCCTCAATGAAATTGAGTTTGATACCCCTGTTCTAAAGCCTTTGTAGATGTCCACACTTTTCTTTTGAAAAAAAAAAACCCCATATGGCATAAGAGGAACAACCGCCTGATCTCTTCTGTTAGAATTTAATGAAAGTGGAAAAGGCCGGTGAAAACCAAGAGAGAACTTTTCAGTGAAAACGAGGGCTCTTTGATAACTAAGGTAACTAAGAGTAACTGGGATAACTAAGTAAGTACCACCAACACTGTACCAATCCCAAGAATTTTTTCAACATTTTCTTCTTTAGTAGAATTTCGGAAGTAAAATTTCTTTCATTACACTGAAAACTAGTGACAAATACAGGTTCTTCTCTAAATCAAGGAATAAATACATTCTAATAAAAATGGGCAATGTGTAACTTGCTGAAGCAGCTGTGACCTTGCACACCTGATTAGAATTGTCTTCACACATACACATGAAAAATTCCTACATAATGATAAGACTTGATAGCCTTGTGGAAAAGATACGAAGGCTGACTTGTTCACACATTGGTATATTTTAATACTAAATTTAGTACTTAATAAAGGTTACGTGCTGAAGTTCACATTCCATGATAATAATTTCCCATTACTCATTTCTCACATTCTGTACATGGTTGATGAATTTTATCTCTAACAGAATTCTATTTCTAAAAATGTAAGATTTTTTTTTTCTTTATGGAAGTCTGATCTATATCAATTTTGGGGGTTCTCACATTGGTTTCAGATATGTTAGATAGTAACATCTCAATTTCCTGTGGTTCTTCTATTGTCATGGTAACTTTTATTTTGAATTGGTGTGGTTTTTTTTTCAAAAGGTCCCGCATAAAAGAAAGAGAAGACATTTACAGGCAATGTAGAAACCAACCAAGAAATACTTCCTCATTTATGCAGGCAACTAGAGAATGCTGAGGCAGAAAAACTGCTTCTACAAACTAGTATTGTGCACGCAACAAGATCTGGGAAGTCCCAAAGGCTTTGAAAACATGTGGTTTTAGAGCATCTCTTACGAAGTTAGATTTAAACATGTATGTATCGGATAATGTAAAACTAAGGATTTCTGCAGATATTGCCTACTCATTTTTATGTGTGATTATATTCTCATCTTCATATACTTTGAAGTTACTTCTTAAAAATAGGAGTAGAAAACACAATTGATGGTAGGAAAAACCTTTGTGGATCAGGCCAAATCTAATAGATCACACACAACGCATATGTTGTGCAGGCCCAGTGTGTGCTATAGATTTATTTAAACACTGTACAATATTGACATTACTGTACATGTAAAACAGAAAGCCCCAGGTGTTTTTTTGTAACAGAAGATCATTTATTTGTGAGAGCATCTCCGTCAGTCTTATATCTGCAATTGAGTGAGAATGATAATTAGCAGCTTTGAATTTATGTAACTTATGTAAGCTAGTTGATTAAATAAATGGGGCACAGAGGACTCCCAGAACAATATAGAATTGAACTCTGTCTCATTTAAACCTTTATGGCAACTTAAATATAAATTTAGTAATTATGAGAAGCAGCAGCTTCCCTTACTTTTAATTTGTTTGTCTTCAGAGTACCTTGGCCAAGGCTTTATATGACAACAAAGCTGAGTGTCCAGATGAGCTGGCTTTTCGCAGAGGAGACATCCTTACTGTTCTTGAACAGAATCTCCTTGGGAGTGAAGGTTGGTGGAAATGTTCGCTTCATGGGAAGCAGGGCTTGGCACCAGCCAATCGCCTCCAGCTTCTTACTTCGTCAGAGGTTCCTTCCATTGAGCAAGATTTTCAAGGACTGCCAACCAACCATTGGACTACCTACCAGGTTCCTTCAGTACATGGAACTTCTGCACCATTATCTGTCTATGAAAAAATGGATGGTTGGATTACTCCACCTTCATCTTCATCTTCTACTTCATTGTTGCCAACACAAGAAGGGTACCAAGGACCAGCTTTGGCTGCCAAGCTGCTCAGTGAAAAGACTGAGACTTCATCAAATCAGGTAAAGGTGCATGCTGCTTGTCAAATGGAAAATGGATAATGTAATAAAGATAGGAAGAAATGGATTAAATCTTCCTTTTCCATCGTATCCCCAGCTGTTTCTTTTTTGTTTGTAGGCATATACGAAGACGCAGAGATTTATTTCTCTCTGTTTGGATTAAAAAATATTGAATTTTAACTCCCATTGCCCATGTAGTTTGGAAGATTAACAAGTTATGATCCCACATATTCAGAGGACACCAATTTGAAGAAGGCTGTGTTAGATATATAAACAATCTACGTATACACAGAAATTGTATATCCGCTGAAATCCACTGATAGATCCAGTGGTGGGATTCAACCAGTTCGCACCACTTCGGCAGAACCGGCAGAACTGTTCCCCAGGCCCAGAATGGAATTCCGGAAGCGGCATCCACGCAGAGAACCAGTTGTTCACATATTTGAATCCCACCACTGAATAGATCACTTCATAATTTCCAGTGGATCATTGATTTTTAGTTTTGAGCAACTTTACACAGAAATGGTGGTTTGTTTTGTTTTTTTTATAAAAGTTAGCGATAATTGAACCAATTGTAGAAGTTAATAAAATGTTGAGTGAATAAAATTAGATAGAATGGATAACAATAAACACATAATTATTAATATAAATTTAATATACATTGAAATATAAAATTTTAATTAGTTAAATAGAATGCAATCTGTTTCTGTGTTACATCAGTAACATTTGGTGTGCCATTCAGTAAAAATTATAGTCAACAAGTTTGGGACACCCTTGAAGACATGGAATTCTTCAAATTTTGTTTGGATGCTTGGATTACATCTTCCCAAATTCCTAGTCAGTAAGGGTGACACACTATCATATAGGAATCTTCCCAGACTGCAGCTTTCACCCGGGAAAGACTAGATAAATCTCAAATGCAGTGGGGGAGGGGAAGGGGGGGTTGACTTGTTGTGTTTATGTAATGAGTCCTGATTAATTCTCTGCTTGAGCCCTCCTCCCAACTGGGGCAGGCTCAGACTAGAGGGAGAGGGTTTACAATAATAATTCTTGCAATAATTTACAATAACAAAGGAAGTACTTCACGTATCAGATAGTATCTTTATGAAATTCAAATCAATTTAAGGGGGCCTAATATTTAATATCTACATTTAGAAATTGGAGTACCCCCTGCTCTGAATACTTGGGGAGAAAAAAAAAAGCACAGGAATTATGTAGCCTAATTTCTTCCAGATGTTTTGGAATATAATTTCCATAAACTCCATATACCAGTGATGGCGAACCTTTTAGAGACCCAGTGCCCAAACTGCAACCCAAAACCCACTTCTTTATCATCAGGTGCCGGATGGGCATGGCCGAGGTGGTCATGGCAGACTGGGTGGGAGGGGCCAGGGCGGCAGGGGCCAGTCCCTCGCCATCTCCGGGGCACGGCATGCATACCCACAGAGAGGGCTCTGAGTGCCGCCTCTGGCACGCGTGCCATAGGTTCGCCACCACTGCCATATACTTTTTGCTGGTTTGGGGCAATATAATGATATGAGAATTGCAATGAAAGATTACTTAAAAACACTAGGAAAGCCACAACTAAGAGCAAAAGAATTTGCCCTAACAATTTTTATTTTTATTATTTTATTTTATTTTAATCCCGCCATCTCACCATCAGGCACCCTTGAGTGACAATGTCATCAGCTTGGCTTTCAAGAATTCTTTACTTGAATCATTATTGGAAGTAGAACGGCAGGCCAGGTGGCATTTTTACTGTTGATCTGATAAGTCCATGTTCTTAAGCACTTGATAAGACTGGTAAAGTATGGTAATTATAACTAGCTTTACCAGTTCTTTAAAAGAAGTTATAAAAAAAAAACCACCAAGCTTTCAAATGTTAATCATGTGAACGTAAAGTTTTCTCCGGCTACATCTGACTTATGACTGCAGCTGTTTCCACAGAGAACAAATGTCCTGAAGCAATTCTTCACCACAACACTTAGGCTTAAAGAACACATATGGTGAAATGCCCAGCTAGTGCAGGAATAGAAATAGAGCAATAGACTAGAATCACACAGAGTCAGCTGTAGTAGGATCAGCTGCTGCTGACAACCAGTCAGACTGCTAGACATCTCTTTTAGAGTCTAATATGACATTTGGCATATCCCTCAACCCTTAGTGTTTCTTCTTTGAAATGTCCTAAGAAGCAAATAATTCACAACACAGTGCTTCCCCCCCAAAAAAAACCCAAACCATTCACTTTTTTATAATTGAACTACTAAATACCTGTAAAATTGACTTGTGTACATCTAATCTATTCTTCAGTCCCTTGTTTGATGTTTGATATCTTCTTCATATCTGAAGTGCAAGTGCTGGTGTGTATTGTAATCTTTGCATTTATTTAAATCAGATGTCTTAGCCCAATCAAAATTTTAAGAGGCTGGAATATCTGAGAATTATTTAAAATCTAGCTTTAAAGAGTCCCTAGTATGTAATACCAAAATGGTATAATAGTTAGAATACTAGAATAAGTTCAAGGAGATCTTGGTTTGAGCCTCTGTTTGTTCATGAAATAAATTATAGGCTAGTCTATACAAAGGTTCTTTCCTTGATGTTGCAACTTTTATATCATTGATACACACTCCAACCTTTACTTTCTTGATATTTTTCTCTTATCACTATCCCTCCCATCTTCATCGTGATAGGTTTTTTTAGCTGATTATTATGGTTTCCCTGCATTACTGAATTATATAGACATTCATAGAAGATGTTATCCTCAAGCTTATCTTATCCACGATAAGTTTTAGATCTGCAATATTTTCCCACTTCTTCTTCTTCTTCTTGTGCCATATCCGTTATCGGACATTGGCGATCCTGTTGGCGATCCTGTTTTTATCAGCAGCCGCACGAAAAAGTGCTGCTGAGTTTTGTCCAAACCAGTCCCTTAGATTTTGAAGCCACGATGTTCTTCTTCTGCCTGGACCTCGTTTGCCTTCAATCTTTCCCTGGAGGATTAAATGGAGTATGCCGTATTTTTCTGGGTGTCGCATCACATGTCGGAAATATTCTAATTTTCATTTTTTAATTGTTTTGATGATTTTCCTTGGCTTTCCCAGACGGCTTATCATCTCATTTCTGATCTTGTCAACCCAGCTTATACGTAACAGCTGCCTGTAAATCCACATTTCAAATGCTTCTAGTCTCTTCAGGTGGCCTTCTGTCAGAGACCAACTCTCTACTCCATAGAGCAGGATAGAAAAAATATAGCATCTGACAAGCCTGATTTTCAGTCTTAGGCTTATGTCGTGACTGCAGATCGTTTTCATTTTGAAGAATGCTGTTCGAGCTTTCTCTATCCTTGCCTTTACTTCAGTAGTCATGTCCCAGCTTTCATGTAAATTAGAACCGAGGTGTGTGATCCTTTCAACTTTTTCTAGTGGTATTCCTTCTGAATTTATTAGTAGTAAATTAACGGGTTGTTTGCTGACGACTATGATCTTGGTTTTTGAGGTGTTAAGCTTCAAGCCGTATTTTTCAGATATTTCTGTGACTCTGTTGATGAGGAGCTGAAGGTCTTCATGCTTACTGGCAAGCAGAACTGTATCTTCAGCATATCTTAAGTTGTTGATCCAAACACTGTTTACTTTGATGCCAGCATCGATGTTCTCCAGTGCCTCGTTGAAGATTGACTCAGAGTAGATATTGAACAACAGTGGAGACAGAATACATCCCTGTCTGACCCCTCTTCGTATTTCTGCATCAGCTGAGTATTTTTGGCCTAGTCTCACATTTGCTACCTGATGCCAATATAGATTCTTTATAATTTGGATGTCTTTGTCATCTAGTCCCCCTTGTTTCAGGATTTCTAATAGTTTGCTGTGTCTTATTTTATCAAAAGCTTTTTCAAATCAATGAAGCACATGTAAACACTGTGATTGACATCTCTACAATGCTGTACAAGAACTTGAATGCTGAATAGCGCATCTCGTGTACCAAGATTGTTTCTGAAACCAAATTGTGTGTTACCTAGACGCTCTTCAATTTTGTGTATATTCTTGTGTGAATTATTCTCAGGAATATTTTCAGGGCATGACTCATTAAGATTATTGTTCTGTATTTGGTACACTTCTTTGCATTTATTTTTTTGGGGATTGTCACAAAGGTTGATTTTAGCCAATCATTTGGTATCTTTCCTGTTTCATATATCCGATTGAAGAGCTGCAGTAAAAAATTCTTCCCATTGTCTTCCAGCAATTTTAAAATTTCTACTGGGATATCATCAGGTCCTGTGGCTTTTCTTGTTTTTGCTATAATATTTCCCCACATTCAATTTTAATTTGGAATGGGGGAAAAGGAAGAGGATACTTAAAAACAAGAAATTTGTATTTGTCCTTCCTTTCCTCTTCTTTGTAATTAAAAAAAGGTTGGTAGAGTGGCTAAAGATTCATTTTTAATGGGTATCTACTTCTGATACTTGCCCCAGCTTCTGCCCATCTACCAGTTTGAAAGCTTGCAAATGCAAATAGATAAATAGGTACCACTTCGGTGGGAAGGTAACAGTTCTATGTGCCTCAGCAAATAGTCCCACTGGCCATATGAACACGGAAATGTCTTTGGACAATGCTGGCTCCCTCGGAGAAGAAATAGAGATGAGCAGCACACCTTAGAGATGGAAACCTTTACTTTTACTCAATTGCTAATTGTGCCTTTTTCATGACTCGTGTTTATGATGGTTGCAGCGCCCTGGGTTCATGTGATCCCCTTTTGTGACCTTCTGATAAGCAAAGTCAATAAGGAAGCCACATTCACTTAACATCCGTGTTACTAACTTAACAACTGCAGTGATTCCCTTAATGGCAAGAACCATTGTAAAATGGGGCAAAAGTCACTTAGTAACTGTCCCACTTAGGAACAGAAATTCTGGACTCAATTGTGGTCAAAAGTAGATAACATTTATCAATCAGCCATCCTTTTAAAATACTCTAACACATCTTTTTATAGAGACTTTAATTGTTGATCATTTGAACTTTAACATTTAAAGTGTAAATTGATTTTATGTTTTTATTATAAACAGCTAGCAAACTTTAGCAATCAATAACAAACCTAATTGTAAAAAAAAATAAATCTCAGGTTTATCCAGTTTTCCTGACTGATCAGCAAAGTACTTAGACGAAATGAAGCAGCATAAATTCTTGGTACCTTTTCAACAGATTGAATTCTCTAATTTACACACTATTCAATAATCACAAAGGATGTTTCGCTTCTTTTGTGTGTCCTTAGTTTCATCCACCAGCTATTAATAGGTTAGTTGGGGGAAAAACAGCAGTTCCATGAGCAAACAACACATACTTTTCAAGGTTAATAACTATCTGTAGGAGAAGCACCTTTTCATTAAATGGTTAACAAATACTGATGCAGCATCACTTGAAAGAACAGCAGCTCATAAAATGTTCACAGGTAATATCAGTGTCATTTTGATCTCATCATTTCCCCCTTCTTCTCCCAAGCACCTCTTCACTCTTCCGAGAGCTACTTGGGCATCAGCCCCAGAAAAAAGAAATGATGTCTATGACATTCCAACATCCCAGCATTCTGGATCCCTGTTGACTCAGGTGAGCATGGTGGACATAGCAAGCTGATGGTTGAAAATAGTTGCCATCATTGCTTGATTGACAAGGTTGTATTAAAGTCACATCAGAAAAGAAAATGGAGGAAATCTGAAAAATTGGGTAGATTTCAATTTATATTTATTCTATATCTGGATGGCCATCTTTTTTGGACTCAGCATATGAAAAATTCAGAAAATTCCTTACTTGATTTTGCTGCCACCCCTCTCTCTCTCACACACACACACACAAACACACAAACACATACACACAATGGCAGCATTGCTAAGGCTGGGCCTGAAGTAAAGGCCCCAGGCTTTCACTTCGGCCCTAGCACCACCTCTGCCACTCAAAAAGGCTGCCTTACACCATTCCCCAAGGTGTGTGAGCCTGTTCCTTGCTTACCTCTTTAGTCTGAACTATTTTTGCTCAATATTGCTGGAACTCTTAGATTAGAATCATGAAATCAAACCTTACTGGGCGATTGTTTGCTGGATTGTCTCTAGGTGGCTACTTCAATATTATTTCTACTGGAATATGTCCTTTCTAAATTGTGTAAGCATATGTAGCACTGTTCCATAGCAAGTACAAGGAAATGACACTACAGGATTTAACAAACTGCTGTCTTTATGCAGTTTACAAAATGAAGAACCCTGCCTCTCCCCCAATAGCTGTTACATATTTTGGAGAAGTAGCCTGATCAATCAATCAATCAGAATAGCTCAAGCAGGAAACCCTATGTCATTTCAGATAGGTGGCTGTCCAGTCTTTTCTTAAAAACCTCCAGTGATGAAGCACTTACAACTTCTGAAGGCAAAGCTGTTCCACTGGTTCACTGTTAGGAAGTTTCTCCTTAATTCCAACTTGCTTCTCTCCTTGATTAGTTTCCATCCAGTTTCTTGTCTTGCCTTCTGGTGCATTAGAAAATAAGTTGACCCCCTCTTCTTTGTGGCAGCCTCTCAAATACTGGAGCACTGCTATCATGTCCCCCCCCCCCCAGGGCTTCTTTTCTCTAGACTGGCCATACTCAATTCCTGCAAGCATTCTTTATATGTTTTGATCATGGATACCTATTCATCACAACCTGTGGCATCTTTGGTGTTGTAACATATTCATGTCATATTTGCCGTAATTCTGAACAAGCTTCTTAAAGCTGTGCTTTGCTTGCAAAATCTGTTTGGATCTAAATCTTCAAAGTTCATATTTTGTTTTGTTTTAAGATACTCTGCCATCTGGTGCCCATATCCTTTCAGTGCATTGTGACAGAGCCCCTTTTATTTTACGTAGCCTTCTCCAGCCTGTATTCTGGAGATGGAGCTCATATATCTAGAAGGGACAAAATTAGAGAAGACGGTCATATACTAAGGAGCCATGCAAGCCTCAGGGCTCTTTCCTTAAGATGTGCTTAGACCTCTATTTAGCTTTTATCAGAGTATTTTTCTATGTTAGTACATTTATGTTTAGTTCCATAAGGGTGAACATTGAAGAACTTGAAATGTGCCAGTTCACAGCTGGACATGCATATCTGAATTCAGAGTCTTTCGTGCACATTCTTTAAGTCAGGAATGGGCAAACATTTAATCTCCTAAAGATTAAACATGTTATTTTGCTGAAATATACTGTACTGAGAGCTGGATTTTGCTTGATGTTAGAACAAAGATGGTCCCCAAAGATGCTTTTTACACAACTCTAGAGTTGTTCACTAAACAACAAAACCTACCATCCACCTACCATGGAATGTGAAGTACAGTATAATGAGAGTATTGAGTTAATTCATCTCCTGCCAATCTTGCAGGCTAATATTTCACAGTGTTGTTTATTTCTGATTCCAAATTTTAAGCAAACACTAGACTAAATCTTCCTTTGACCTTCTAAGCCTCAGCTTAGCAGTCCCTAATAAGCCAGCTCCAGGCTTAAGTGGTACCTAGGGTAGTAGCCTCTGGTTAGACCCTCTATGCCAGCCTTTCCACTCTGAAGGTATTCAGTGACAGTTTCCATAGTGACCCAAAGCAATATAGTTATGTGAAATGGAAATAAAATAATGCCACAATTGTTGGCCCCTGCTTCAGTTCTCACCTCCCCAATTGTCCTACCGTATGTTACTGCCTGGTGAACTTCATCTTCATACTTTGATTGCTAAATCCTGTTCCAACTTAAGTTGCTTGGAAAAGTCCCACATACTGATGAAAAGATTATCTTTCCTCACTTGATGCTTTAAACTCTGGTTGGATCTGACAGATGTGCAAACTCACCCATCAAGAAGAGGTCAGGCTGGAGGAAACTGTTGTAGATGTTGTAGATATCCATTATCTCATTCCTTTGGCCCAGCGTTCATCTAAGAATGCAAATGAGAGCCAAATCAAAGAAACTCTGTATAATTGTTTATTAGCTGAAGGAAATATATAAATGAATGGCTAGTGGTAACTGGGTTTTTTTTTATGTTGAACTCTTTCATTAGAGCCTTGCCACTCCACCATTTTCTAGAAAGGACTCCAGAACAGTTCCTTTCATGGAATGGTGCCCAGAAAAGGTGCAGCAACTTTATGATATCCCATCAAATCCTGAAAAGCCGAGATTTTGCTCATGGCAAGACTCTGCAGTGGAAGATGTAAGTTTGATCATACTTAAATAAATATGTTGTTCTGAATCATAGAGTTATGTGAAGCTCTGTTAATTGTTCAAGAGGCAGATTGTGGGGTCTATGGGGAACTCAGATCTATATACAAAGTGTAGCTCTTGAAATTCAGAGGGGGCAGGATTTGTAGTAGGAGCAAGCAATTAAAATATGAATTGCAAAAGGCTGGGGTGTAAGCTTGGATTTATATCAGGCCTGTGAAATCCAAATGCTTCCTAGTGCCCATTAATCAATGACTATTTCAGAGAAGAAATGAAGTGTAACACCAATAACATACAGGACAAAAAAACCCTATTTTTCTCAAAATAAAACTTGAAGTCTCCTCTCATCTTAAAGACAAGCAAACACATTAAAACATATGGACTTTCTCTGGACCTTGGGCTTCTTTTTTCCAGGAAGTGATGCAAATCTGATTAACTAAAGTCCGCACTGATCATATAAACTCACAACAAATTCTACAATTTTCCTCCCTACCAAATCTTCAGCAAGGAACGTTTGTTTCCTGCAAGAGTGAAGAACTTAAATTCCATTAAGGTTTGTGATCTTGTGTAAGGGGATACTTGAACAAGCAATCTGATCCTGTAATGCCGGAGTAACAAAAAGCCATCATGCCAGAATAGGGCAATCTGAATGCAATGGAGTAATGGTGTCATACTATGTAGAAACAATCCACCATGACTACTTTTTAAGATGGATATGTTTAGGTGCAAAGCTGAGAGATCAAGAGGAGGAGTCATTTACTTGCCAATAGCTTAGCAATATTGGTTGACACTTCTCTATCCTTAGTTGTTGACCAGAAAAAGCAAGAAATGCCTATTAGTTCTCAATAAACAGGATGGATCTCGAAGGGATCAAAATCCTAACCATACTTCAAGTGGAATCACAGGGGATAGGTTACAGAAATTTTGGTGGTCAAGAGGTTCCCTCTGAGTTCACATCATCAAGCCCATAAAGTGTTGCTCTCAGTTGTCAAGTGGAGGTTGATATAGGCAGATCCTTTACACAAGGAGCAAAGAGGGAGAATACTACTACTAATTGCTCCAGTGTAGGATTACTTGTGGTATTTTTACATTTCTTATGTGTTGGTTTATTATTTGTGTGAACTTTTTTGGTTCTATATCAGTGATGGTGAACCTTTTAGAGACCGAGTGCCCAAACTGCAACCCAAAACCCACTTATGCATCGTCGGGTGCCGGGTGGGTGTGGCCCATTGGGTGGGCGGGGCTGCGGTGGTAACAGCAGACTGGATGGGACTAAAAAGTTCAATCAATCAATTCTAACTTTGCAAGATCTTTTTTTCCCGTGAGAAGTTGAAATTGACTGATTGATTGAAACTTTTTTTTTTTTGCACATGGCGGCAGAGGCCTAAAGTGAAAAGGTTTTATAAAACCCAGCTGAAGGCCTAGGACGAGGGCGACGGCACATGTGCCCACAAAGAAGGCTCTGAGTGCCACCTCTGGCACCCGTGCCATGGGTTCGCCACCACTGTTCTATATATATGAATATAAATATTAGAGAAGAGAACACAAATGAAGGAGTAGTAGTAATCTATCATTCTTTGTTCTCCTCTCCAGGTGTACGTCATCCCAACATCATCAACTAAACCCATTGCTAATTCTACAGAAAAGCATTACAAAACTTTACCAAATCTTTGGAAATCAGAATGGATCTATGATGTACCTGTGGCACCAGACAAAGCAAAATTAATACAAACTTCTCAGAATCATTCCCCACAGAAACATGCACTTTATGATATACCACCAAGCAGGTTTGATTCTGATGCACAAAAATTATCTCCAATAAATAATAAAGGGAAATCAGTAAATCTAAAATCATATAATATTCCACCTATACATAGGAAATTAACTTGCCCAGAGCTTCCTCTTTATGACGTACCATCCTTATGCAATACGTTTGTGCAGCGTCCAGCTAGCAACTATGATGTTCCTTCCAATGTTTTGTCTACCAGGACTGAAAAGGAGAGCCAGAAATCGACTCATTATGACATTCCAAAAGGAACGCCTATTGCTTTGGCACAACAGAAGGAAAATAATTACAATTCAGGAGATAACCCATACATTATTCCTTTGCCATCATCCACAGAATGCAATGTGGACCAAGATAGATTGTCTGTTTCCAGTGAAAATAGTAGGGCCAGCACCCTATCCACATTGTCAAGTTCTTCTACCGAGTCCTTTTCATCAACATTTTCAGAAGAAATTGTCAAAGACACAACTATGGAGCTTGAGTTGGCTATAGACACCCTGACTAAACTGCAGCATAGCGTATCCAGTTCAGTTGCAAGTCTAATGATCTTTGTGAGCAGTAAATGGCGATACCAAGAATATTTAGAAGGAAACATTGAGGAAATCCACCGAGCAATTGATCACATAAAAGTCTCTTTGGGAGAGTTTTTGAAATTTGCTCAAACTATTGAAAGAATTGCAGCTTTGGGATCAGATACTAAGCTTCAAGCAAGAATTAAAAAACAGTTGAATATTCTCTCAAATTCCTTTCAGATTCTGGTACAAACCAGAGACGCCTTAAACAAAAGCAAGTGGTCACTTGAGATTCTAGCTATTAAGAAACCTCAGAGTAACCCAGATGATCTGGATCAGTTTGTTATGGTGGCTCGTACCCTTCCTGAAGACATTAAGAGATTCTCATCTATTATTATAGCTAATGGGAAGCTACTTTTCAAAAAGAGCTGCAAAGATAAAAACAGCAAAGATTCTAAAGCTGGTGTAGAGCTTAAAATGAAGAACTTCAGTCATGAAAAGCAAGGAGAAAATAATTCTGTTCTAATAAGTAGTTTGGACAAAGCAAAAGAAAATAATCTGTCTTCAACAGAGACAAGTCTTTCTGTCCCTGAAGACTGCTCTACTCATCCACAGGTTGGTGTGGTTGGAATTACTGTACAAATGGCAATATTTTAAAGTTATTAATATGTGGTTGAGAGCCAGTTTGGTGTAGTGGTTAAGGTACTAGGTTAGAAACTGGGAGACCATGAGTTCTAGTTTGTGCCTTGGGCACAAAGCCAAGTGGGTGACCTTGGGCCAGCCACTTTCTCTGAGCCCCAGGAAGGAGGTAATAGTAGGCCACCTCTGAAAAATCTTGCCAAGAAAACTGCAAGGACTTGTCCAGCCATTTGACAAGAGTCAGCATTAACTTGAAGGCACAAAAATATGTGGTTAAATCCACACACCTGCAATGACTAGGGATGGAATAATGCAATGGGTAGTAATGGAAACTGGTTGAGTGCCTAGGCCAGGGGTCTTCAAACTTGGCCCTTTTATGACTTGTGGACTTCAGCTCCCAGAATTCCTCAGCCAGCGTGCCTGGCTGAGGAATTCTGGGAGTTGAAGTCCACAAGTCATAAAAGGACCAAGTTTGAAGACCCCTGGCCTAGGACAATTACAGTTTGCTTATCTGTCTGCAGCCCTTCTGAGACTGTGGAATACTCCGCTAAAACACGGCCACACCAATAGCCTGGAAGACCAATAATTTTTCCAGGAAAATTTAGTGTATAGCTGATCTTTACAGTTGAATTTTACCCAGTGCTTCCTCAGCTGCAATAGTACGTGAATTGTTTACGGATTCAATTCAGTATGATGATTTTGGCTCTTCTAAAGCATTTCCTGACTTAAGACCACACAAGTCCACTAACAGCAGCACAAATACCCCACTGGGAACATAATCTCAGTGGCTGAAATGAATGTTACCTATGTTATTTCAGGCTTCCTGAAAAGAAATTGCAGTGGGCCCCAGAGTAGCATGGATACCTTCTTTTCTTTTCCATCCCACCATTTTCCAGAGTTCCAAGATCCCATTGGGAATCGAAAAGGCAATCTGGAGCGGATGGTGGAGATGATGAAGCTGGGTAGTTGGGAAACCCAGCCAAAGAAATAACATAAATTTTCCTAGGGTAATTTCTTCATTTACAGAGAATTTTGTCACTCTTAAATGCTCAGAAAATTTCAGGGTTTTTTTCCTAAAAACTATTGAGGTTCTTGAGAACAAACCATAATAATTAAGAATTTATCTGACAAATCTTAGGAATGGAAGTAGGCAACATTTCCAATATCTGGAAGGAAAATGTTGGATCATATAACCCATAATCTTTATCTGTTTAAGGATGACCGCTTTTTCTTTTTTTTTAGAATTATAACTTTCTTCCCTTTTGCAGAAACCATTAGAAACGGAACACACACAGCCAACTTGCAAGACAAAGAAAAATGAAGAATTTAAATTAAAGGTAAAATATATTGTAACACTGAAATTATTAGTATTTAATCATTACCTAAAACCTTGAAATTAGATTGTTTCAAAAAAACCAAAACATATTAGCTGCCTGCCAGTGGACAAGTTTATTTGTATTCATAATTTTTCATTGAACAGAACTTACATCTTAATAGGAACTGTACAGGATTATAGTTTTTTTTATTTGGCCCTCATTGATTTGGGAAAAGAAAGATAAAAACATTGAAAACCTTTTAACTCCACCACAGTCATCTGGGACAATGACTGATTGCTTTATACATTCAATCTATAATGTGGTTACTATCTGAATTCAACCCCATAGAGGCTGCTTCGTGTAGCAAACATTTGTCATGTTGTTTCTGTTTTTTGAATAGTAGAGAATATTGTACATTCATGTGTTCTGGTAATATATTCTATATCATGCGTGCTCAAGCCATCATTCTCACTGGGTAAAGGCCAGTAACAGCTGAGTTAAAGGGCAACAGAATTTTAGCCACCTATACTGGAGTGTCATACTTAGGAGAGTAGTCAGTATCACTCCCAAAGCAACACTGGATCTCTGATTCTACAATGCTGGTTGAATTTAGCAACTGAACCTGTTTATTTTCACTCAGCTGTGGTGTAACCCAAATTGCAAAATACTGCTGGCCTGTAGGTGAGGCTCTACAAACTTTGTACGTGATCCATAGTGGAGGACATTTTCACCTCTATCCCTCCTTGGAATTCCTGAGTTTCAGTAGATTTTGCATCTTTTTAATGGAAAAACTTTGGCATAACAGAGCAAAATTTACCAGAGTTTTGTCTGTTTCCCCTTTTTTGTTTGTAAGATCAATCAGGCTTTCTAGTTCTTCCCTTTTCTTTTTGTGTGGCATGGGAGACTGCTTCAGCAGAGCTGAATTGGAGCCAGTGAAGAAATACCCTTACAATAAATCAATAAATTCCAATTCAAAAGTCCACGTTATATACAATGTTATCTCTCTCTCTCTCTCTCTCTCTCTCTCTCTCTCTCTCTCTCTCTCTCACACACACACACACACACACACACACACACACACACACACACACACACTTTCATCCAGGGCTTCTGATAGCTAAAAATAAGATTTCTACCAAGTTCTTTTTTACTGACATTTATTGAAAAAGGGATACCATTACAGAAATCCCAACAACTGGATTATGTTAATATTAGAACTTAAATTTCTCTTTCACCTTGTTAGTGCAGAGTCTTCTTCAGTTTCTTTCATTCACACCCTCCCTGTATCAGTGGGCTGCTGGCCCATTTCCCAGACAACTGAAGAACACACAAGCGGTCTTTCCCAGCCATCTCTTGAATCCTTATCAGGCTGGGAACAGATCACTACAAATGTAGCCAAATTATATTTAAAAATTGTGAGAAAAATGCCTGGCAGCTATTAAGCTCACCATGGAATTTTTGCAATTACAGGAAGCACAGCAGGGGAGCTAGTGAGCCTCATTCCATTACAGATAGAGCTTTATTTTTACTTTTGCAAACATTAGCTCAGCGTGCATTACAAGTGATAGAAATATGTGTCTGAAGGGTTTTTTTTTTTATCAGGTGGTGTCATTTTCTTTTGGGGTGGCAAGGAGATGAGGGAAATTTGTGTTCCTGTGAGATCTGCAGTCCTTTGTGTTCTTATCTAATCTCAGCATTCTGAGTTCTGCAGAAAATCAATCAGATGTGCTTTAAATAGTTTAGGAAAGACTGTGGAAAAGATCTTAATGTTAAATCACACATTATGCACACAGAAGCTTCCATGCGCTATCAACAGAGATTTAATAAAAGCTTAACAAGCAAGGGACAGTTCTTTGACATTTTGCAGAGCTGCTGCCAATACACTGAGCTAGTTGGACAAATAGCTTGATTGCTAAGGCAACTTTCCACCTTATTATTTGCAGTATTTCCACATACTTTATAATTCTGATGAGAATAAGCATTTTAAACAGCCTTTCCCATCTTGAAGCACTTATACTAGAGTAAAGCATCTTCCTGCAGCCAGCACAACTATTGAAAGGATTTCCAGGACAAGCTACACAACATTTATAGTAGGAATTCTCAATGTTTTTCTTCTTTTCATTCCCTCCCTAGAGTTCTCCACCTACAACGAAAGAAAGGACTCGGAGTAAACAAGATCCAGATAACAGAATGATACTCTCCAACCTCTCCAGACTGTATTTTGGAGCTGTTCAGAAAGCCATTGGTGTTTTCCACAAAACTCTTAGTGATAATCAGACTCCAGAAATCTTCATAGCCAAGAGCAAGCTGATCATTATGGTAGGCCAAAAGTTGGTGGATAC